TCATGATAGGAGGCAAGGTCTTTGAGACAGCTTAGACCCAAGTCATTTAGGCCTTTGTATTCAAAACAAATGCTTTGAATTGTGCCCAGAAATGGACTGGCAGCCAGTGGAACGATTGTAATAGGGGAGTTATGTGGTTCCTGGCAGTGGCATTTTGGCCCTGCTGAAGTTTCTGATAGGGGAGAGAGAGCAGATAGGGGATGGGTGTGACCAGTGCAGTGGTGCAGTGGCTCGTCCTGAAAAGAAACCACCTTGGAAGTTTAAGTAACTTTAAGTAACAAGTTACCAGTAATGCATTACTTCGGGGGTTAAAAAGGGCAGTGAACTTTCTTAGAATAGAAAATCCACCCAAGTATTCCTTGGTGACTGAGGTTGGAAATAGTCATGCAACCAGGCTGAGTCTGAAGTTTTCTTCGCTGACTTGAGGGGAGAAACCTCATCTACAGCAAATGATGTACTTACTGAGACCAAATGTTAGCCCACATCCAGGTCCCATGTCAGGTACATATTTTGCTGATATGCGGCAAGAAGTCCACAAAAGCAAAAATTAAAAAGAATGGTACACTCTTTGAAGTTGCTAGTTTGACTGTTAAAATGCTCACTGCCGGGAGGAGCTTGCTGATTTGCTTCTAACAACCTTCTCAAGGAATCTAAACACCAATAGAAAATAATGTTTACAATGAGTCAAACCAACAAGACCACTAGAATAAAATCATTACTGATATTTCAACAGTTATTTTTTTTCAGACTCTTTTAACCCTCTACCCTCACTCATTGTTGAGGAATTTTTCCCCCCAGCAAACCCTTGGGATTAGTGCTTGGAAGTAATGAACTTTAAGTAACAAGTTACGAGTAATGCATTACTTTGGGGGTTAAAAAGGGCAGTGAACTTTCTTATAGTGTCTATGTTATTCCCAGATATGAAGTAAAGCTTGCTCATTCTTTTTACATGTCATTGTTAAATTCTGAGGGGATTCCCCACCCCCATACACACACACACACACATATTAGACCATTTCCTTACTATTTCAGATGAGTATTTTAAAAAGAGAACGAAAAGGGAACACAAATTAGCAATGAATGTGACAGCAGCTTATCAAGTTAGATGATGAGAAAGGATCGCATCTGATTGCATCAGAAAGGGTCACTTTTCCAGGAGTGATCTCCCTTAAAACAAACCTTCCATCTGTGGTTGAATCACTACAGCCTGCTCCTAAAAAAAGGGTAACCCTGCCACTGGACTGAAAAAGGTCCAGATCGGGCAGAGATCAGGGGAGGGCTGGTATGCACATTCATGTGCATCGTGTGACTGCCGGGAAATAGCTCACGTTGGACCATGCCACAAGTGCTCCAAAATTCAAGCTATTTCTCCATCTGATCACACCCTTATTTTTAAAAACTGCAGCATAGCTGAACTGCTGGATAGCTCTGAGGTTTAGGTACCCGGCTACGAAGCCAGAGCTTGGGAGCCTGATTCCCCAATATGCCTCTTTGACAGGATTGGATTTGATGATCCATAGGGTCCCTTCCAACTCTGCAGTTCTAAGTTTATTATTAAATAATGGTAATGAGTTACTTTTAACTGTTATTTACTTAAAAAAAATTCAATGAATAACAATAATGATGCCTTAATCTGTCGTTGAACATGCACCCACAGTGGATGTGGATAAAACACAAAAGAAGTGGGGCCAGAGACAAATCTATATTGGGCCATCTCATTTTTTTCCGCATTTTTGGATGTGCCATTCAATTCACACACCCAGTTATAATTGTTGATAGCACCAGTGTTCTATAGTGGTAAGTTAAATCACACTTGCAGTAGAAAAAAATTATGATGTCCAGGCTCATTCCAGTTGGAATTTCCAATATAATGAAGAGGCTTAGTGAATTGGCTGCAGACAATTACTTGATCAGCCCTTTAGAATATTTAAGTAACTGACACAGTACATTAACAATGGTCTACTACAGTCTGTTTTTTCTTTCTTTTCCAATTCTTCTGTCCCTCTGCAGTGAGCAGAGGAAGTGTTCAATTTCCTGATATCCTGAAGTGGCCAATTTATTAAGCCACTTCACAATATCGGAAATTCCAATCAAAAGGTAGACAGACCAAATAGGATCCCTTGAGTTCTGATATTGCATTTGGATGCACATGGCATCTCGCACCTCTGACCACAACCTTAAGTGACCCTATTTAGCCAGCATCATCCTGCACCAAGAGGGCCCATGTAAACAAGCTCTTAGCTCCTGCATGGTACTGCTAATGTATTTGCCCTGCTTTCAGATTATGGACCCAAATTCTAGAAACTGGCAAACTACTGAGTAGCATAAGTTAACAAATACATGGTTTTTTAGCAGCTCATAGCAACTGAAATCAGACTGGAATTGTTAGGTGCTGTCAAGTCACCTCTAACTTCTGGAGACCATATGAATGAATGCTTTCCAAAATGTCCTGTCCTGAACTGCCCAGCTCAGTTCTTGTAAACTCAAGGCTATGAGTTCCTTTATGGAGTCATCCATCTTGTATTTAGTCTTCCTATTTTCCTGCTGTCTTCAACCTTCCCCAGCATTATTGTCTTTTCCAGAGAATCGCACCTTCTTATGATGTGCTGCCAGAGATAGTTCAGGCTTGGTTTGATCTAGGACTCACTCGTTCATCTCCCTGGCAGTCTATGGTATCCACAAAGCTCTCCTTCAGTACCATATTTCAAACACATGAATTTGTTTTTCTTGTCAGCTTTCTTTCTTGTCCATCTTTCACATGGTAATTGTGAATACAAGAGTGTGGATGATCTTGGTCTTCATCTCCAGTGACACATCATTATACTTTGAGCCTTACCTTGTCCTTTTATTGAACTTTTAAAAGAAAATTCACTTCCACTCCATTGTTTTCGTTCCAGGTGATAACTTTGTCATTTTACAGGCTTTGTTCTTGAATTGAGCATCCTGTCTTCTTCTCTTCACTTGTCACCTTCTTTGACTAATCCTTCCCGATTCTCAGTCTTATTCTGATTTCTTGGCTGCAATATCCATTTGGATTGGTGGTGTAACTATTTCAGTCTCTTCATTGTCAGGATTAAAGCTGTGTAGTTGTTCTGCAGTCATGATTTTGGTCTTCTTCATATTCGACTACAGTCCTGTTTTGGCACTTTCTTCTTCCACTTTCACCAAAAGTCATTTCAAGTCATTGCTGCTCTCTGCCAGTAAAATGGTATCATTTGCATTTCTTAGATTATATTTTTTTTACCAGTTTTCACTCCTCCTTCATATGAATCTAGTCTGGCTATCCATATGGTGTGCATTATCTACAGGTTGAACAGATAAGGGGATAAAATGCACCCTCGTCTGACAGGGTTGCCTATATGAAACTTTTCCATTCTCCACATTCTGTCCTAACAGTAGCTTCTTGTCCAGAATGCAGGTTACATCTTAGGACAATCAAGTGTTGAGGTAAACCAGTTCCTTTCAGAATAACCCATGGCTTCTCATGATCCACACAGTCAAAGGCTTTGCTGTAGTCTAGAAAGCACAGAGAAGCGCTGCATAGCCAAGTTGATTCATATTCATTGATGGCTTTGTCCTCCATGTAGCCCTAGTAACCCAAAACTCCAGTCAGTTTTAGGAGAGGAAAATGCAGGGATCAGAGATCAGCCATAAATAATAGTGAGCTCTATCAAATTCACCCTATCCCTTCCTTTGGAATCCTCTCCGGTACAGCCAAATTGCTTTCAATTGGCATAAAAATAACAGGAAGTGGGACCAGTGATGGGAAGAAATAAACAGCTGAAGAAGCAACTCACAATTGGCTTCTGTTTCTTGGTCTCAGGGCATTCCCAACTATTGAATAAATAACTTTCCAGTGAAATAAAAAAGCTGTGTGGTCATTACACAATAGTGGTATGTAAAGGTGGTATATAAAGGTGATACCTTTATATTTGCCAGAAACTGGCAGGTTGCATGATTTCTTTAGTGGTATATAATGGTGATGCCTTTATATACCACTAAAGAAATCATGCAATCTGCCAGTTTTCGTGGATCAGGGCTTACTTCATCACGCTTGCACTGGCATCTTGCTGTTAGTGCAAAGAACTTAAGAGTCCCAAAAGTTCATGGCAAAATGGATTTTGCCTGGTGTTTTTCTTAACTATGAGTTAGAAAAGGAAGTTCATGGCAAAATGGATTTTGCTAGGTGTTTTTCTTAACTATGAGTTAGAAAAGATGTAGGCTGTGCTGGAATTGTGTTTTTAAAAGTTATGGGTGAGAAAGTTGTTGATCGGACATCACACCCCAGTTCTTCAATCAAAGAAGTGGGATTATGCATGTGCCCTTGCGTGTGGCCTTCCTTTGAAACTGCAAGTTTCTGTTTGGCTGGGGAACAGGGTTTCCCATGTCACCCTGTGTGTGGCTGAGTGGGGAGGGATGTGTGTGCACATGTGGGGGTAGGTTTGTGTGCTATATACCCATCATGCACAGCACAACAAACATTTGAAATATGCAGTCCTGGGCTCCCGTGGTCTCTGCATCTCAAGTAAGGGAAAATATTTGTGTGTCCTTTACAGCACAGCATGCAGGAAAACAGAAATGCATGGGCGCACATGTTCTGTATTCAGGAACAGATTAAACAGTTCACAGTACAGGTCAAAAAGGCAGCCTAACAGAACTTATCACAAAAAGGGAAACTGAGGCATTTAAAAGCCAGACGGAAGTTCCCTTTTTAGCAATATTATGATTAAGGTAAGTAAGAGGGAGACTAGCTAGGTGGCATAGATCCATATTCTTGTGAGTTTTACTGAGATGATTGTTTTGTATGCACCCTATTTTCTTAAAAACAGTCTGCCTGTTTGGCAGGCATTTCCCACTTCCAGTTTCCGGGTACCTGATTGGCTGGCAGAAAGCAGAGTCATCCCTCAGATCTTTGAGGAAAATGGTAAAATATTCTCAGCAATTGGCTCTTTTACTTGCTTATAGTAAGTCCAGTCTCATCCCCCCCCACCCCAGTCTTTCAACATATATTCATCCAAAGCGTTGTGCATCAGGTCTCCCCTACTGCTCTTTCTTTTAATGCAAGCCTCATCATTCTCAACCTTCCCTTTCAGACTTCTCTTGCTCTCGCCCCCCTCCTCTTTTCTCTCCTCCTGCCTCTCCTACAACCTGCTTCCTAGCAATCTTTTGACACCTGAAGGAAAGCTAGGGAGGCGTGACCCATTGCAAGTGGTGGGGAAAGACAATAAAAGGAAAGTCTGGAAAGGCATGGGGGATACGATGACTCCTTACGTGTAGCTGCTGATTATTTTGCATGGATTGTTGAGGAAAAAGGAGCTGCATTTGTGGGGGAAAAGCTTTTTTGCTCTGGTAAGTGGAATCACAGTATTTTCATTTTTTTTTTTGAACCTGTATTCATTCTCCTTTGTGGTACCGTATGCCATATTCCGCTTTGGTGAGGCATTTAATTAGTATTACAGGACTTATTAATATTTTATGTGTTTGCTTAAAGCTGCAAACACTAGGATTTGATTCATCTTTCAGTGTCTCTCCAATCTGCATCCTTCAATACATATATGTATCCAGTGAAGCATAGCAAGTCGGGATGTAAAGATTATTGTTCTGATCAAGCACATTGATATTTTCATACAGTGCATTTTACAGTCCTAAGTCCTTCAAAGAAAATGTGAATTATTATTCTCTAGCTTATTTCTAAGAAGCCAGGCTTGAAAATGAAGAATGGGTTCTTCATGTAATTACAAAAAGTGTTTAGCTCCAGTCTGCCCTCCATGGCTTTTAGTAACATTAAAAACACGCAATCAAATCACTTTGCCAGTTTTGTTTTGTTTTATTAACAAGAATGACAACATAAAAATCTTGTTGCTAGCCATCGCATGCAAAGACTGCCTTTCTTAACAAGACTGTGATATAGTCTGCGCTGTATTTTATAACCCAGCCACATTTAAGCATCAGTTCAGCAGTCTAGCATCCAAATTATATGGTTGTCATGGAGATGGTACAGAGAAGGTGAAGTGATATGACTGCATCTGGACCATGGAAGGATCTGATGCTGCAGCTGATCAGTTGTGGTTGTAGTGGCCCATGTTGTGCTTTTTTGTTGTTTTGTTTTCTCCTGTGCTCAGTCACTATTCTCTTTTCCTTCAGAAAGAATCAGGGCAATTTCATGAGGTTTGAAAGAGCACAATCTTAATAGGCAACACATCATTATTTCAACTATTACATTAGTATTTGTCATTGCTCTCTCTTTTTTTGCCAGATCAGGAATGGAGATGGCACACGTAGATTAGTTCTGCAGTTATTGGGGTTGGGTCTCCAAATACCTCTTAAAGAGACATCTTGGAAGGCAAACCCCACTCTCCATTTCATACTATTAATTAAATGGAGAGTGTGTTGGCTCTGCCTACATTTGATTCAATGTTTCTTCCCTCTGCTCTGAATTTGAACAATGGAGTTTTGTCTGCTTGTTTCACCTTTACAAGCCAGTGTATGTGTGTGACATTTTTCAAGTGGTAAAAGGAAATGTGTCAGCTACTAAAGGAAATGCATAATTCATAAGGCAGAAATTCTCCTGCCTAAGGCAAGCTACACTACAAAGGCTGCTTCTCTGAAAATTATATTAATGTCTCCCACAAAATGCACTAAGTTTCATGTCACAGATGTGTTACGTGTCTATAGGAGCTGGAACTGAATCAGACCCTTCTTAATTTGGGTTGGCACACGAGTATTACACTTTGTTTAATCTGGGCTTCTTATATGTTCACACAATGAACATATAATTTGAAGGCATCTCTGAAGTGCAACATGGAAGATACCTTTGTTGTATCTGCAATATATAATTTAGTCTTAAACTGAAATTGTTCGATGCTATTAATACCATGTCAGCTAAAATATAGTGTGATTAAATGATTGTATCCAAGATGAAGTTTTGTTATAATTTGAAGCATAGGAAAATTTAATTGCTGGAATGCAGGAAGACTTGTGGCTGACCAACCCATGCAATATGGCGTTTCACATTTGCATAGTATTCTAGCTCTGGACTACAGTTGAACTGAATCTGTATTGGAAATCTGTATTATGCTTCCTTGTCAAGTTTCTGTGGATACAGTTTAGTTTCAAGATGCTAACTGGAGCCTCTAAGAGATGTTGCTAACGATGCACACTCCCAACCTTTGTGCCTTCTGGTTAACCAAGATGGCGAGAGTGAGAATGTATGTGGACCACAGAAATCATCAGTGTTTAATTATGAAAGGGGCAGTTTTACTGAGCCAGCAATGCAGCTTCCAATGAAACATAACAAAACAACATTTTTGATCCTTGTGAACTCAGTTGTTAGTATCCATTCTAGTATCCTTAGGAAAGGTGTTCAAATCCATTTTGTCAATAGTTTCGTTTCGTCGTTTAGTCGTGTCCGACTCTTTGTGACCCCATGGACCAGAGCACGCCAGGCCCTCCTATCTTCCACTGTCTCCCGGAGTTGTGTTAAATTCATGTTGGTTGCTTCGATGACAATAGACCTAGCTCCTTATCCTCCAGAATAAAACGGATGGCTTGGATTGTGTTCCATCCCAATGTGGGGAAGCAAACAGCTGTGGTCACTATAGGGCAGTGGTTCACAACATTGGGTCCCTAGACGTTCTTGGACTGCAATACCCAGAAGCCTTTACCACTAGCTGTGCTGGCCAAGATTTCTGGGAGTTGTAGTCCAAGAACATCTGGGTTACCCAACGTTGGAAACCACTGCTCTAGGGAATATTTTACAGAAGATGGATGAAGAAAGCACAAACTAATTGATAACTGCTGTGGGTGTGTCAAATTATTTCTAGGGATTAGGTCTCAGAAAGTGATACTGGAAGCTCGCATTATTTACCAGTATGGACATAACATACATGACAAGAGACTGAAAAAATGGGGGAATCATAGTTTCTGTTACCTTTCTGGAAAACAGGCTTTTCGCTTGGTGCCTAGAGCTACCTGACCAAGAAAAAGGGGGTAATGTCCACTGGTAATTCGAAGGCAGCAGCCACCTACGCCTTATCTCAGTGAGAATGGAAACTTCAAGGCCAAACTGAGTGTATTCTTTGGATACTGATTTAATTAGCAGAATGGTTTCAGCTGAATGAAAAGAGGGAGAAAGAAGTTACTCTCTGCTTTGTGAAAGTTCTGGGCAATTCAATGACTGATTAGTGGATCTCCTGGAAATGTCTGGAAAGTGGAATTTTGGGTGTAAAAATTGGAAGATAAGTTATTTAGCCTAGCTATATCTTAAGAGAATATTATGCTCATCTGCTGCCCATCTGTATGGCTTGCACTCCTCATATGCTCTAGAAATAAGCTGAATCTATGCTGTGATGTATTGGCTTAGCTTAACTAGCTTTCTTATTTTCTTGTGGGAATGTTCAGGAATTATCCTCACCCCACTTTGTTGGATTGCCCATTTGTTCCACAATCTTTTGATTATTTTCTATAGCTTTTGAAAGTTTTGCTCTTTGGACTTTTCACCACCTTAATAAATATAAAATTTTGCAACTGTTTGGTCATTTTGGAGTAGGAAGGTTGACAGTAAGAGTTAAAGTGCTTAACCTTCTGGAAGCACTGTTCAGAGAGGATAAAGTTACTGGGAGGGTACCAGGCAGGAAGATTTCATCATATTTGGCCCTCCTGGATTTTACCCACACCAGAAAAGTCAGGGTAGTGTGACTGACTGGTTAGTGTGGGCATCTCTCTCGACAATGCATTTGCAAATGTTCTCCTTGATGAAAAATGTGTTTCAAGACATGAAGTCACCCTCCCGAAAATACTGAGAACTGTTGCTAAATTTGCCATGCCATTACAAGAACAGCATTTTAAATTGCCACCAGCTGCATTAGCAAAAGAGGCCTCTCTTTTTTTGTACAAAATAGCTTTTTACACAAATTTTTTGCTCAATACAAAACCTCAGAATTTCCCACAAAATACAAGTGTTTTGTATATAACTTTTGTGTACGTCAAAATTTTACTTCCATGAATTTTTTACAAAATGGCCCCACAATGCATAAAATGTACAGATGCTTGTAACCTCAAAGGCTTTCTTTCTGCTGAGTGGCATTTTTCATTTTCACTTGCAAGAACAAAATAACCAAAGATTTATATCTGTACTTATTGGTATACTTGAGACAATTACTTCTGCATTTTATAATTATAGCGAAGTGTTGGAAAATTTAGAGAGTGTGGGACTGGACACGGGCTTGCAGACTTAATCCAGGTAAAATGGAAACACTGTTGTTTGGGGCTGAGTTGGTTTAGGGATGAATATCTACCGTATTTTTCACTCCATAAGATGCACTTTTTTCCTCCAAAAAGGTGGGGGCAAAAGTATGTGTGTCTTATGGAGTGAATACCGTAAGGAAAGGGTTCAGCCACCACCCCCCAGAAGCCTCCCACTGCCATGTTAGGAGGCCTCTGAACTGGCAGCAGAGACTGCTTGCTGTTTGGACCTCACCATTCTGCACTGCTAGCTTTCCAGGATCTGCTTCCTGCAGCCCACCTGGAAAACCAGCAAGGCAAACAGGCCTGTGGCAGTAAGCAATGCAAATAGCCAAAGACCAAAGGGGAAAGAGTGATTCTAGAAAAACCAGAAACGCAGTCCCCCACTTAAACAGTAGATTTTTCCACATTTGGGGAAATCAAGGGGGTCAGCTCATCCAAAGTGCAATATATAAGCCTTACCCTGGGAAAACCACTTTTACAACAATGGTATCTCCCCTGCCAGGTCTGAGTTTGAATGGCCCCTAAGCCTCCTGGCCCTTTGTGTGCACTATCCCCCAAAGGCATGGTGACCGCCGGCTGTACCTCCTGATCAGAACAGGGCTGCACAGCCCCAGTCCTGAAAGAGGCCAGGAGAGCTACTCAGTGTTTTGGGGTGCCCCACAGGACCCCCATCAGGGGCTAGATGTTCCTCCCACAATCCTCCAGTGCACAGATATTAGCATATCTGCCTGCTTGCATC